CCTCGTGTTGAAATGTCACCTGAACTGCAGCCGGTTATGATGACACTCCTTAAGGTATTCTTTCGGTGTGGCACTTGCATGGGTGTTCTTATAAACGGCTTATGGGGCCCTTAGGTTGTGGACGTTGATGCCTATTTGGCTAATCAAAGGGTAGGGAACAGTCGGAGGTAGCATGCCACGATATCCTATTCGTAGATCGCTCCTATTTGGTTGGCAGTTGTTTCGGAATAGGAGGAACTAGCACTGTCAAGGCAACTGTCATCCATTCGTTTCCGCTCCGTCCATAAGTTCATCGTGCACATTGCTAGTCCTTTGCTGGCGGAGGGCTGCATCGCTCACGCTTAAGGGTGAGGTATGACTCACTCACAGCCAGCTAAAAATGTGCGAAATGCAGCAGGTTGGATTTGATATGGGTGGGCCATTTGTCATTTCAGAAGGATTTTGATTGCATGAGTCACCTTAAAGCCACAGCAATCAATCTCACTGGGAGTTTTGTTAAGAACAGGAAAACGAGTGTGATTCAACTAGGTGTTTAGTAAAGGTGCATGCAATGCTACCATAGAACAAGCTATGCTAATTAGTCATTTAGTACTTTCTGCGTCAGAAAGGGATGGATTTCCATTTGATTTCTAACTGGCTTTGATTGCAAATCGAAGAATATAAGGAAGCTTCCAAGACTCTTTTCTAATCGATTATATTGTAGGTACTGGAGAAAGATGTTAATATCAATGTGAGTAGCGTTAGTGCAAAAGTATTGTCTAAATTGGCTGTAAGTATGAGAACAGATTTTGCTGTGATGGTCCCGAAGGTAAGTGCACATGGTTGAGAAATTGTGTCTTTTCCTCACGTTCTCGATTTAGGTGATGCCAATAGCGTTTGATAAGCTGAAGGAGAAAAAGGCTGTGTTAAGAAACGAACTCGTTGAGTTGTGTGATGCGGCTGCGACGACGGTACTTGTTCTCACCTTATTTAAGCTATCGGACTGTGGATTTTGATACAATCGGAAGCGGATATCCATGCGTTTATTGAACTTTGTTCAGACGTCTATCGAAAACTACACGGAAGCAGTTTGTGGTGGACTCACCAAACCAAATCCGCAATCACGAGCTCAAACAGCACTTTTCGTGGCTCGTCTCCTTTCTCGGCATGATTCCTCTACCATTCCTGCAAACGCAGTGAAAGAGATCACTCCCGATCTAGTTAAAGTAGTTTATTCTGAATTTGTTCTGTCGCAATTTCTTCATTGCATTTTTCGTGAGTTTTTAGTGTTCTTCCGATGCCGATGCGGAAGTGCGTGAATCAACATTTCGAGCAATGGGCGCTGTCTTGCGATGCGTTGGCGAACAGGCAGCGCGTAGACTGTTCGGTGAAGTTTCGGAGGACAAGCTCAAGATGGCCAAAGTCGGGCTTTGTTGTTTCGAACTCAAAAAGTTTACATTTGCCTGTCTTCAACTATTCTAATATCTAGATCACTGAGAATTTTGAAAAAATCCGGGAGGAGTTTGGTGATAAAGCTGCTCCAGAAATCATCCGACTTCATGCCGCTGAAGCGAAACCAAAGGTAAGAAGAAAGGATTTTTCCTGCTGTTGCTCTTGAAGGTGTGTAGAACCCTCTGCTGGCATAACTCGAAAAGTTTGATGTTCTCGCCTTGTCATACATGAATCGGCTCGTTGAAAGGGGCCTAAT